ATTGTTTATAATTTTTATTTTCAAATTTCAATCAAAGTTAACAAATTAACACAATTTTTTAAAAACGGACGTTTATTTTCTTATTCCGTTACTGCACATGCTCTAAATCAGTTCAAATTAATCCAATATTACCAGCAGACAATTAAAAACCCATAAAGTAATATATTTCAATTGTCATAAACAACATTAATTAACAAATAGTTAACTTATGATCCTGTCCAACAGAAAATTTTTGTTGCAAATTTTCTTTTTTACTTAGGTTCTTTTAAAGAATATATGTCTTTTTTGCTTATAATATAACTTATTTAAATATTTAATATTATATATCCGTGGTCTTTTAACATTATCTAAATAAAAAAGTAAACGTGAAAAAAAAATTTTTGGTGGAAAGGAACAAAAATTAACTATTTGTTAATTAATATTATTTGTAACCATTTAAATAAGTTATTTTTTAAACAAAAAGGACACATATTTTTAAAATGAACTTAAATTAAAAAGTAGACGTGAAAAAAAATTTTTTTGGTGGACAGGAGCATAAGTTACATAACTATTTGTTATTTAATATATTGTTTATAACAATTTAAATAAGTTATTTTTTAATCAAAAAGGACAAATATTCTTTAAATAGACTTAAATTAAAAAGAAAATGTGAAAAAAAAATTTTTAGTGGAATAGGAATCAATGTTAACTATTTGTTAATTAATATTGTTTATAACAATTTAAATAAGTTATTTTATAATCAAAAAGGGCAAATATTCTTTAAATGAACTTAAATTAAAAAGAAAAGGTAAAAAAAACATTTTTTAGTGGAAAGAAATCAAAGTTAACTATTTGTTAATTAATATTGTTTATAACAATTGATATAAATTACTTTCTGTTTTATTAATTATATGGTGGTCATATTGTATTAATTTGAACTGATTCAGATCATATGCAGCAACGGAATAAGAAAATAAGCCTCCTTTTTTGAAAAATTGTATTAATTTGTTAACTTTGATTGAAAATAAAAATTATAAACAATTAAGAACTAAAAAATTGACCTTAAGGGATGTCTTAAGAATTTATTCGCCTTTAATTTAAAATAAAGAATACTGAAACCGGTTAAGAATTGTAGGCTGTAGACAGTTTTGAACAGTAAATTGTAAAAAAAATCCCATTGTGCGCTGTTTGTAGATCCTTGGGCAAACCCGGTCTGGTCCTGGTCGGGGCCACGAAGTCGGGGCCAGATCATGAAATCCCGACCGGGGCCAGGGCGGTAATCGGGAACAAAAGTGGCGATTTCTGCACGGGTAATCATTTTTATATTGTAAAAAAGTGTATAATTTTTTAACTCAAAAAATAAAAGCATGATAAACAAAAAATAATTAACAACAAAACGAGATCTGTTATCTAGAATTAAATTTTCGAGTGGAGGAGCGAGTTCTTATTTGACTGCTTTTCTCACTACAATTTTTTTTTGTTTCTTTATTTTGTGAACAATATTGATTTCGGCTTGTTTTCTTTTTGATGATACGATTTTATCTATTGCGCTCAGATTCCAACCTTTTTTCGACATTGCAAAATGCTTACACGTTGGACTTATGAGGGATTTGGAATCAATACACGAAAGATGTTTGAGAAAAAGGGTATCCAAACTTTCTGCATTCCAAATAATTTGAAATTTTTTTGGAAGTTTAGTGCTGATTTTAAATTTGGTCGTAATAATAAGGAATATAAATATGTTAATAATATTTTTCTCAGAAAGGAGTAAATAAAAAAAAATTGTTTAAACAAATTTTTTAAAATTTTTTTATTTAAAAATTAATTTTTTTTAATAACTTTATTCGCATTTTAAAGTGCATACTTTTACCTGAAAAATGTGTAAATTTCATAAAAATCCATAAACAATATTCCGCGAGATATTCAAAATTTTATAAAATTATTATTAAAATTCAAAATGGCGTATCTTCAACAATTTTGAATTTTTTTGAAAAAATTTGGGGGAAAGAAGTCTCTTATATAGAACTATAATCCCACGAAGTTTTGCGAAAATTGGCAGACCCTTTGCAAATCGTGATATTTCTGACGTGAAATGCCTCACTTTTACAAAATTCAATATATATTCTTTCTCCGTGTAATTTTGAGGTTAGGTTGTGTCAAGTGAGACAGAGGGAGATAGTTAGTAGAGTCACCCCTGTCCGTCTTTCCCAGAAATTAGTCAGCTTAGTGGTTTGCACTTTAATGTGCAAAAAAGTTCCTCGAGATGGCGCAGTACTCACTACTCGTCAGCAATATTCGTTACCTCATTCATTATTGTATTTGTTGTGTTGAAATCGGTTAGAAATCTCAACTAAATTTTATAAAAAAATGTGAAAGTAAAAAAAGTATTAACATTAAAAACTATTTTAATGTTGTAAAAAGAGCATATTTTTTAAAAAGTGAAAATGTTTTTAATAAGTAGCCGGCAAAGCTTGCCTTAGTTTAAAAATTTTAAAAAAAGTTTAAAACTTTTAAATTTTTATTTAATATTATATTTTTTATTCATTGTATACGTTCATGTTTGTTTTTGTCTTGAGTAAAATTTCATCTCAAATAATAAATAAAAAAAATGGATTAAAGTTAACCCTCCGTCACACACCTAGGGAGGGATTCCCTCTACGGTTTCAGTATTTTTTAAATAACTTTTGTTTTCCTCATTGCAAAATAAAATCAGTTTCTATACCTTTCGACAATTTACTCCTCAACACATTTCTAAAAAAACATTTAGTTTAAACATAATTAATTTTTAATTATGAAGCTTCAAAGCCAGAAGAAACTCGAAAAAGTGAGGTTATGTTAAATAAAAAAATCAAGTTTTAAAAACATTTTTTGTTCCACTGTTGGTTGATGACAAAATTATATTATAAATATAATTAAAATTAATTGTTTAATGATTTTTTTGCTTATTTGTTAATGTTACATTATTTTTACATGTCGAGTGAAATTTCTTTGAAGATGTGCATTTGTGTAATTAATTTTTATTTATGAGACCGAAAATTAATTTGATTAATTTTATAATTTAGAATAATTTACTACATATTTGTAAGTTTGTGTTAAAACTAAATTTTTGTTGATTCCTTTGTTTATGTTGTAATGTTGCTTACTTTACAATGTGGTGAGCGATTCCCTCTGAACGTGTGTAAGGTCGGAATATTTTTTTCATGTGTGTGACGGAGGGTTAATGCTATTTATATTATCTAAATTTGTTTTCTTTATTTTAGATATACTATTTATCTATGACTTTCCTTTAACTTTTATTATAAATCAGTTTATCTGATAATTTAAACGATTTAAACGAAAGTCATCAGTTTATTGTACAACACATTTATGTACTTTCATACTAATTATTCAATTGTTCTATCATCTTTTATGAGTTAAAAATACAATATTATTTCTTATCGTGTATTTTTAACATCACTAACAACAAGATTTCATTATAAAACAAATAATTTATTCGTTTCTATGATATTTTTCTATTGCTTTAGTGAATTTTGAGCGAGTGTTGAGAACAGCGCCATCACGTGTTACTTTTTGGCACATGAAAACGCAAACCACTAAGCTGACATATTTTTCCTTCAAAATACATAGGAGTCGGACTGGGGTGGTAGAGTGAATCGTATGTGGATAAGGTAGGCTTCTAGAAAGTCGATGTCTGACTCAAGTAGTGAATGTTGGAGTGGAAGTAAGGCGCGAATATTTAAAATGATAATTGTAACTTATCCAAATTCGGATGCTTTTAGAATTATTTCATAATTATAACGATCAATATAGGATGAAAGGTTTGCCCTTCTCAGGCATCTTATCATTTTTTCGTTTAGAATTTTTTTTTCTATACGTGAAGCCAAAAGCGGCTACTTAAAAATTTCAATCTTATTTTTTAATTAAATTGTATGTGGATGTAATAAAATCTTAAATATTAATCAAAGAAATTATTCTAAAATCATTTTTTTTCCTTTCATCTAAATACTACCCGAACGATAAATCTTTCTTGTATCTTAAATTCAAGGAATTTATATTCTTAGTAACAAAAAAAAAAGAAAATTAAATTTTTCGGTAAATATTAATGATGCAAATAAAAAAAATCCGTTCGAGCTGAATTCAAATGGAACTTGACCCACATTTTGTATTCAATTTCAGGTCAAGAAGACAATGTCGGATTTTTTCTTCTTCTTCTGGTTTGAAAGAATTTCTTAATGGAAATTAACTTTTGTATAATATTACGAATGCTAATAGGAGATGAATCATTAGCAATGACTCAAGAGAGTCATTAGCTTTGGAGAAACAAGGAACTGTTTTATTACTGATAATGGTCTTATTAAAAAAAATATATTTTACCTTTTTTCTTCCTTTTCTTCTTTAGAAAGTGACCTTCCCTTTATAAGGTCTTATTTAACGTTTTGTAATATCGTCATACATTTTGCGATATTTGGAGAATTGGGTACTTGAAAGTTTAATGATTATATTAAGGTCAAAAGCCTCATTTTTGTTGTTAATGACTGTCAAGTGCTTTTGGATTTATAATTCAGATAAATTACGAACGTAGGGTAAGTGTACCAATTGCCGAGGGTGTTCCATTTGTCGATGTTACCATGGTAATAACCATAAAATATTGTCTAAAATATCTCATTTGTTTGTGAATATAATATTAATATATATTTTTTTCACATTTATAACGCATAAGAAAATTAATATTTATCACTTTTCTCCATTTACAATGTGCTACAATGTTTCAATAAAATTCAAATTTTGTTTACTCGACAACAGGAACCATCCTCGACAATTGGTACGTTTAACCTATTTTGTTTTTTAACCTTTCTTGTTGCAAGAAATCATGTAGGAGAACTGTACTTTTTTTCTATTTTGATGTGGAAAAATTGTACCATTTTCTATTTTAATGATGATAAATTGCATCTTATTCTATTTTGATGATGAAAAATTGTGAGGAATATTTTAAAATAAATGGAAATTTTTTTCTGTTTCAGAAGTGGAATGTGAGGTTTCGAGTCAAGTAGAATACTCAATGCAAGCGATATGGGGTGTAAGTATAAGGGAACTTCACCTCGCTCTTTGGAAGCCTTGGAATACCCTCAGGGACGCATCCCTGAATGGAACTCTTCTTCAGGGACACGCTCAGCATCTCACACCACCTAGAACGTATCCTTTTTCTCTCAAAATGAAAATTTGAACCTGGAAATTTTTCTTAAAATTATGTTCCTTTAGAAAATTTATTTTCTCCTCCATCACCTTCTTTAGTCTGATGATTTTTTAATTTTATACGAATCATTTGACAAAGTTTGTCTAAATTCTTCTGAAAGTAAAATAACTTTACCTCAAGCATAAGTTAGGATTGGGGCTAATCACTTGATCCACATTAGATTTTATAAAACAATTAGGAAACAAAGTAGCAAATAGATTAGAGACTATATTACTTTTCCTACTTTCAAAAAAAAAATTTTTTTCTTTAACTATAGTTTTAGTAGACAACCGCACGGAGAGGAAACTTTGAGATTGTCACTTCCAGCTCCAGAATTGGAATTGGGAACTCCGCCGCGGCTTTGTTATCCCCTAGTGATTTTTCTCACTCGTAAAGATAACAGGGATCCTCATCCCGACGAGACTGTAAGTTTTTATTTCCTCATTTTATTAGGTATTAATTCCAATATTCTTCAAAGCCAAAAAAACTGAATATATCAAAAAATATTTTCTAAAAATAAATTTCCAAAATTCTCCCGAGTAATAACGTTTTCGAAAAATTTTCACCTATACAGGGCTCGAACCAGTGAAAGTATAAAAAAATATGGACTTTAAGGACTAAAAATGATAAATCACGGACCATTTACGGATCAATTTCTGACTAAAATATAACCAGTCCGAGTCAAATAAGAGAACATTTTACTTAAAATTATAAATTCAATTTTTTCATAACTATATAACATGAAGACATCGAATTTCTGCATGTTTTATAATAATTAAAAATGGTAAATTGATAAAATCATTTTTTTATATTATAAGAATATTGTACTTCTTCAAAATTATTTTTATCATTTCCATTCAATTATTATTTTTAATAATTTTTATCTAAAATTCTTCTTTAAATGAATTAATTTTCGAAAAAGTTCTTTGACAATTTTCAAATCCATTTGTTTACAATATTCAATTTTACGAATTTAAATTATTCGTAAATTCTTCGATTAAATATATATATTAGAAAATAGAATTTCAAATTATATAAAAAAAAGTTCAAATAAACTTTTTCAAAAAATTGATTTCAAAATTCCATTATTTCTAAAAATTCACGCTTTATTGCTTTTAATATTCAATTATTTATTATCTAAAATTTTAACTGAAATTAATTTTTTATAAAAATTTAAAATTTTTTTTATATAAATTAATTTTTTTTTTTTTTTTTTTTTTTTTTTTTTTTTTTTTAAATTAATTTTATTAGAAAATTCTACTGGAATTCAATTATTTAAATACAAAAATAAATAATTTATTGAATAATAGAATGCTTCTTAAAATTGAATTCTCATAAAGAATTTTATCAACTTAAATAATTAAATTCTTTCCACGAATTATTATGTAAAATTTTAACTAAAATTCATTTTTAAATCAATTTTTATTAGAAAATTCTACGAGAATCCAATTATTTAAATAAAAAAATTAATTAATTATTGATTGAATGCTCCTAAAGAATTTTAAATAAGTGAATTTATTCGACAAATTTTTTTTAACATAATTTTTTTAAATAATTACATTTTTCAAGAAAATTGTTTAAAATTGTATTAAAAATAATTGAAATTCTGCAATGAGTTTTATTATTTGTGAAAAGAATTGAATTCCTAAGAAGAATTTTATTATTTTTGAACATAATTCTACAAAAAATTTTATTACTCTTAAAAATAATTAAATTTCTGCAATAATTCGTAACTTCTCCAAAATTATATATTTTTTTAGTTGTTTTAAGTAAAATTCTTCTATAAATCAATTTTTTAAAATAATTTTTGAAAAAAGTTCTTTGAGATTTTACATTTAAACTTTTCAAAATTCAATTATTTCTAAAAATTTACTCTATAATGCTTTTAATATTCAATTATAATCTAAATTCAAACTGAAATTCATTTTTAAATCAAATTTTATTACAACATTCTACTAGAATTTAATTATCTAAATACAAAAAAATAATTTTTTGAATAATTGAATGTTTCTTAAAATTCAATTCTCATAAATAAGTTTATCAACAATTTTTTAAATACTTGAATTCTTTTGACGAATTTTAATAAAATTTTTAAGAATAATTACATTTTTCAAGGAATTCGATGAAAATAGTATATTAAAAATAATCAAATGTTTGCCAAGAATTTTATTAACATGTTTGAAAATAATTGAATTTCAGAGAAGAATTTTATTATTTCTGAAAATAATTGACATTTTGAGAAGAATTTATTTAAATGTTGGAACATAGTTGAATTTCTGCGAAGAATTTTATTACTTTTGAAAATAATTGAATTTCTGCAATCATTTGTAATTTCTCTAAAATTCTCTAAATTATATCGTACAATTTACGAACTTTTCGTTCTTTTCCAATCAAATTACGGACTTTACGGACCTTTTTTTAAAAAAAACTGACTTTTACGAACTTGAAGCATATTTACGGACCTAGTTCGAGCCCTGCCCGTAGTAAAATAGTTTTTAATTTTAGACCAAAGGAAGTTAAATGAAAGAAAAAAAATTTCTTTCTACTTTCGAATGTTGTGTGAAAATTTTATATGTACAATTTTCCTTTTTTATTTATACAGGTCGCTCTAGTGAATGTCGTTCATATAAAAGACAGTGTCTGCACATTGCCGACCTCGATCCTCGCTCAGTATTTAAAACAGGCTAACGGGCAGTTGTCCTGTCTCAAGGTAAGCCTCATCATCCCGTTATCGCAAAATTTAATTTGAAAAAAATTTTCAAATATACAAACAAAACGAGAACGAAAAATTATTTTCTTTCTTTTTTTTAATATACGACGACAGTCTTTCTTTTTATTGAAAAAATGTATACAACCATTCTCGAGAGAAATTCTATATAAATTCTTATAGGGATGGGGGCGAGTCTAAATCGTATTTCAAATATTTGCCCAAGTCTTTTATTTCTTTCACTTTTTTCCATTTTAAGCGAGTGTATTTTTCCCTCTTCTTTTTGTTTTTTTAAAAAGCGGCACAAACGAGAATATTAACGGGGAAAAATGTAAATAAAAATTGCAATGATGTTAGTTTAAATGAAAAAGAAAGGTACAATTATTTTTAGAAGCAAACACCTTATTCTTGATTTTCTGTTTAAGTTAAAATATTTGGGAGAAAATTTACTATGATTTATTTATTAATATAAATAAAATATTAATTAAGTCATTAATTATACATAAAAAAACTATGAGAAATAAATCATATTTCGATATTTTTATTCCAATATTTTGAAATTGGTTTTATTTATTCAATTCTATACAATTTTTTGAATTTCTTTATTAACAGAAAATTTTTTAAAATAAAAATTATAGATGCAGAGGAAACATGAAATACTATTTTAGTTTATTACTTTTCTACTTCACTTCAGTCAATATTTTTTCTATATAAATAAATATATAGTAAATAGGTTGAAAGTGAGATCAATTTCTATTATTTTGTAAATTATGATTATTAAAAAATTTACATATTATTATTTACATATTTATCCCCAGTATTTTCAACTTTTCTATAAATAAATAAAAAATAAAAAAAAATTTATAAATGAAACATTAAATTTGTAAATAAATTAATAAATAAAATATTGAATAAATTAATTAAATAATTCACTAATAAGTAAATAAGTTAATAAATTAATGAAATAAAGTAAATAAATATATTAACTGGTGACTAAAGTATTTAACCGAAGAGAAAGGGAACATAAGTCTCGAAGTGGGGTCAATGAGTGCGAGAGAGAAATTTTAGTTTCTCTCTCACTCTCATTTCTCCCACTCCTTCGCTCAATTTCCTGTTTCATTCTCATTTAAGCACTTTAAAAACTGATTTATAAACATTCATGTTTTCAAGATTAAAACAAATTTATACTCACTTTTTAGAAATTTTAAAACAGTCTTAAACATTTTCCCAGTAAAAAAGGATTTTTTAACATAGCATTTTGGATGATTGAGCAAGCCGTCTGCTCAATTGTCCAAACGGCATTTGGACAATTGGACTGGTTGCTCAATTATCCAATGCATTAGGTCCAATCATCCCAAATGTTTTTCGTGCACGGAGAAAAATAAATAGTAATAATTATACTATTTTCGATGAAAAATTACTACTTTTAAGTAGTAATTGTGAAACTGCTCGAAAAATAGTAACTTTTGCTTCGTATTCAAACGATTTTTACTTTTTTAAAAAAGTATAACCCACACAATGACGCGCCTCACTATGAGCTATATTGTCTCATTTTATTTTAATAAATTAAAATAAAATAATCAGTGCGTTCAAAAAATATTTTTTCAAGTAATTAACACTCTGCATGTGTATTATTATTCATTATTCATAAGTTTTACTTTTTTTTCACATTCTTACTTACAATTAACAACTTAACATATCGGAAAATCTTAACATCTATACAGTTTCGAACCTTACCTAACTTATATCTAACGCAACCTAAAATCGCACGCATTTATACTAAGCCTCTCGGCTACGCAATCGCTATGGAGAAAATTTCATGTTACCCGCATATATCTCTTTTCGATAAAGTGAATCATAAATTATATTTATTTAGATAAGTTACTGAATTAAAATATAAACATTTATAATAATAATAATAATAATAATAATTTTTTTTTTTTATTCACGGGGGAGAAGAGGAAATGCATTAACGCATGCCCAGGAAGATCCCACTTACCTGGGGTATGTCGGACTCGCACAAAATGCAAGGAAAAAAAAGAAACCTCACATACCTGCTTTTACGGCAGTCACAATACCGACTAAAACCTCTTCTTGATTCCCCTGGGTTTCGAACCTTCTATCCACCTACGGAACTACCTTTCGGCTTCAGACTTCGCAGATGGATGGTCCCATTCAGTCGCTGGCGCGACTCTTCCGTGCCGCTCTTCTTCTGGCCATTATTTTCTCCTTGTTCTTGACAGGGTCTTCTTAGCTTCCTCTAAGGCAGTCCTGAAGACCTTGCACCGACCTGATCCAGCGACGTGTTGGATGTTCTCCTTTTCGCCGAACTTCGCCTTGCATAAGAAGCAGCATGGGCTCTTCTTACAATCTGCTACCTTATGGCCGGCTTCTCCGCACCTGAAGCACGCAGCCGACCTATCTACTGCTTGGCAGTCTCGACCTATATGGCCATAGCCAAGGCACCTGTGGCTTATAATAATAATAATAATAATAATAATAATAATAATAATAATAATAATAATAATAATAATAATAATAATAATAATAATAATAATAATAATAATAATAATAATAATAATAATAATAATAATAATAATAATAATAATAATAATAATAATAATAATAATAATAATAATAATAATATAATAATAAGATAATAATAATAATAATAATAATAATAATAATAATAATAATAATAATAATAATAATATAATAATAATAATAATATAATAATATAATAAATAATAATAATAATAATAATAATCAATATAAATAATAATAATATAATAATAATAAACAGTATTATTAATTTAAATTACTTATTTTAATTATTAAATTATTAGATTATAATGTTAATGATTTATTTATTTATATATTTTTTATTAATTAATTAGTAATTCATTAAAAATTAATTAACTAATTATTAAGTGATTATACATGAATTGCATACTTTGGAAATTGATAAATAATTAAAATGCATATAGCAATTAATGATCGCACCACTGATATAAACACACTGAAAAAAATACATGAGACATTTTCAACTACATCCCCTTAGTAGAGTAAAAAGTAATAAAACGAACTACTTTTTTAGTTAGTCTGGCTACTTTTGATACTTATTTTAACTGTTTTATGTACTTAAAAATTATTAATTAAATTAATGTAATTTTACAGTTAACTTTGTAACTGCAGGTATGTTATAGAAATGACTACAGAAAGTAGTAGATTCTACTACTTAAAGTAGTTCGATAGACTAATTTTGTAGTAGTTTTTACTTCTTCTAGGAGTTGAATTATTTTCCATGTAATTTATGTTATAGATTTTTATAGAAGATTATCAACTGTGAAAAGTTGTAAATGCAACTACTTTAAGTAGTAAAATTAACTACAGTTATCAGTTGAACTGTGTCTGGAATGCCTATAAGTATTAAACAACTCATCGAAGCGGGCGAGCGTGGTTAGGTGGTTAGCTTATCGGTTTACGAATGTTAGGGTCGAGCGTTCAACTCCCGACGTTTAGAGATTTTTCTCCGTTAGGTATATAGACATTAAATAAATAAGGTATAGGTAAACAAAAGTGGGTAGGGGGAAATATAAAAAAATACAACTCGATAATATTTATAATAAATTATAAATAATTTTATTTTACCATTTTCAGTAGTTACTTTATTACTGAGTTATCTTAGTAACTTTAACTACACGGAGAAACTTTTTCTTCTAATATTAAATATATTTGGTTATCTTTATTCTAAAAGTACGTTAGAATGTGAGGATTTTTCGTGCGTTGTGCTAATAATTTCAACATTAATACGAAAATATGATAAGTTCGTTATATATTAAGCAACCTTCGGTGTACAAAAATTACTATCTGCATTAGAAATAGTCTTATTTTTCTTTAGAAAAGAATAAAATGCTAGTTTTTGTTTGTGAAATAATACGGTAATTCTAACCTTTTTTCCACATATAGATAGAATATATAACAGACATTCTAACGTAACATACCAATTTTGGAAGGACTGCGGGCGGACTTAACCGATTTCGCCCGAGCATCACCGAGTCCATCACCTGACGTCGCGAACTAACCCTAATGTTTTCGAAGTTGAAATTCACACGTGTATGAAAGAAAAAAACCTTTTATTAATAAACGTGAATGTCTCCTCATGCCAAATTAAATTCAAGAACTGTTCCTCAATATAACATAATTTTTTTCACGACTTTTACTTATTTACATAATTTGATTAGTAAGTTATTTTAAAAAATGCTCTCTTTCGAAGGCACATATTTTTCCACTCGTTTAATATATAAGGACGATTCAGCTGTGTACTTCTAACGAATCGTGCGATCTTTCGGTTTCCGTGACCAATCGTCGTGTCTTTACTTGCGTGTGCGTGTGTGCGTTAATAATATAGGTTAGGTTCTTACGTCGTGTTAAATATATTTACCTACAGTTACAGTGACATACACTATTGCCATCTACCATCAGATCCAAGTATCACTATCGTCTCTATGAGTATCTATAGACAATTAATTTGTTGTGTTTCTTTTTAATTCATGGCTTTCCCAACTTTGCAAAAATTATTATTTTCTTTCTAAAACAACATACTAATTTTCGTTAGTTTCCTTATGAAGAACTGTAAAATATATACTGAATGAGTGTTTTTGATAGTCTCAATAACAATTTCTATAACCTATGTCGCTTTTCCCTTGAATCTAACCTAACATACTAAAATGTCTCACCAGTTTTAAGAATTAGTGGTATTAAAAGTTTCTCCGTGTACATATCAGCAGTTAATTCTACTGCAAAACTGTCATTGGTTCCTATTTAACTAAGAAAAGTAGTTAATGCAACTGTATTATCACTTTATTCAACTACATATCTGATAATTAATGTAAGTTCAAAATTATCTTTGGGGACTTATTGAACTAAGGAAAGTAGTTAAAAAGTAGTCAAATCTACTAAGAATTTTTTTCAGTGCAAAATTGTCCAAAGAACTGAACCGT